GGCAGTGATGCAAAGATGTGGAATGGGCTGGTCCCACACCCATGTGTAGTGGCTAAAAATTTGGGAGGGATATATTGGGAGCAAGAGGTCTTAGCCCCACACCAGGCAACACAGCCCAGAGTTCCATTGCCAGGAAAATAAGTCCTCATAACTTCTGGCTGTAAAAACCAGCAGGCATTGAATTGGTGGAAGAAACTGCTGGATTCCCAACCAGTTCCTCTTAAAAGATCTGCACAAGGCCTTACTCAGACTCACTACCTCTGAGCTCCAGCACTGAGTGGCAGCTAGAAAGGCATCAGTGGCATTCCAGAAGTGAAGTGTCTGGCATCACAGCAAGAGCTGGGGGACAGCTTTTTGCTAGTCAGAACAGGAGGCAGAGGGCATTTCTCCTTTTCTGAATCCTTCCCCATAGATCCATAGAGCTGGCAGTCAGTAGTCATATTTGATGCTCCATTAACTTGGCTTACACTGTTTGCCACACCCTGGTGTTTCCATGAGGCTCCACCCTAACAAACGTACAGACCCACCCAAGTTGTTAACAGTGGCTTTTCCATATGAATGGCTGGTTTTGCCTCATCCTTTACATATTCCTAAATCCTCTCAAACAAGGAGCAGCCTACCTCAGCTAGCCCCCAACCCCCATACCTCTTGCTAAGTGGTCTCAGGCCCAGCACTAGCCAGAGCCATCCTAGGTTTACAGCAAGGCTTCACCTGAGAACCTCCAATCCTAGCACAAGTAACAACTTTCTGCAGATTGCTTTGAATCATGCTAGGTGGCCCTGGGCAGAACACAGGTGGTGGCTGACCTTGACTGGCACCACCTGGAAAACCCCAGAGCCTGTGCACCCAGTGGACAGCTACAGGCCACACAGGAGCACTACCATCCTGCCTCTGCACAGTGGATCCTCCACAGAGGAGGAGGTTGTTGGTCTGTGATCATAGCCAGTCCTTGCAGCTGAATGGCCTGAGTATATCCCTTTCATTGACCTGCCAGCAGCAATCAAGGCTCAAATACAAGAGGAGGATATGCTTGGCCCACATGGAAGGTGCACCTTGAGTACTCAGCTTGGGTGGTAGGGGAGGCTGTGTCACAGGATCCTACAGGATACCTACTACATTAGGCCTATGCTAGGGAATCTTAGAGGCTCTATCTAATACATAGAAACAAACACAGGCAGGTTGTCAAAATGAGGAGACAAAGAAACACGTCTCAAATGAGAGAACAGATCAAAACTGCAGAAAAAGAACTAAACAAAATGAAGATAAGCAATCTATCAGATGCAGAGTTCAAAACACTGGTTATAAGAATGCTCAAGGAACTTAGTGAGGTCCTCAACATAGTGAGCATAGAAACTTAGTGAGCATAGAAAAGATTCAGTCAGAAATGAAGGATACACTAACTGAAATAAAGAAAAATTTATGGGGAATCAACAGTGGAGTGGACGAAGCTGAGAATCAAATCAATGATATGGAACACAAGGAAGCAAAAAACAATCATTCAGAACAACAAGTAAAAAGAATCCAAAAAAATTGGGACAGTGTAAGCAGCCTCTGGGACAACTTCAAATATGCCAACATTTGCACCATGGGGCACCAGAAGGAGAAGAGTAAGAAACTGGAAGTCTATTTGAAAAAATATTGAAAGAAAACTTCCCTGATTTTGTGAAGAAAATAGACACCTAAATTGCAGAAAGCACAGAGTCCCAAACAAGATGGATGCAAAGAGGCCCGCTCAAAGACATATCATAATTAAAATACAGATAGATAAAGACAAAATCTTACAAGCATCAAGAAAAAAGCAGTTAGTTACCTACATGGGAGTTCCCATATGACTGTCAGCTGATATTTAAAAAGAAACTGCAGGTTAGAAGAGATTGGAAAGAAATATTCAAAGTCATGAAATGAAGGTACCTAGGACCTACAGCCAAGATTGCTCTACTCAGCAAAGCTATCATTTAAAATCAAAGAGCTAAAGGGATTTTTTTTTTTTTAAATCACATACTGGTTCTTTTTATTTTTTCTTTTCTTTTTTCTTTTTTCTTTTTTTTCTTTTTTTAATTTATTTATTCAAATACCTTTGTCTCTACTTACCCCCCACCACTTTCCCTTGCCCCGTCCCTCCTTCCCTCCCTCAGCTCTTCCCCTTTGGTTTTGTCCATGAGTCCTTGCTATATGTTCCTTGACTTTCCCCTTCCCTTCCTTTTCCCCGCCCCCCCCCCTCCTTCCCTCTTGTCTCTGTTGATTTCTTTTCCTTTAAGTGTTGCTGGTCTTATTTTCCTTGCATCTCTGTATGTTGGTTAGGTATCCACTTATAGGTGAGATCATATGGTATTTGTCTTTCGCCCCCTGGCTTATTTCGCTTAGCATAATGCTCTCCAGTTCCATCCATGCTGTCGTGAAGTTTAGTAGTTCTTTTTTTCTTTCTGCTGTGTAGTATTCCATTGTGTATAGGTACCATAATTTTTTGATCCAATCATCTACTGATGGGCATTTAGGTGGACTAAATGCCCCAATCAAAAGACACAGGGTAGCTGAATGGATAAGAAAACATGACCCACACATATGCTATCTACAAGAGACCCACCTCAGAGCAAGAGACCTACACAGATTGAAAGTAAAGGGATGGAAAAAAATATTCCAAGCAAATGGGCATGAGAAAAAGGCCAGGGTTGCCATACTTGTATCAGACAAAGTAGATTTCAAAACAAAGGCCATAAAAAGAGACCCAGAGGGTCACTTTAGAATACTTAAAGGAAGAATCTATCAAGAAGACATCAACATTGTAAACTTATATGCTCCCAATATAGGAGCCCCCAAGTATATAAGGAAATTGTTGGACAACTTCAGAAAAGATATAGACAGCAACACACTGATAGTAGGGGATTTCAACACCCCACTGTCAAAAATGGACAGATCCTCCAAACAAAACATTAATAAACATATTGTGGCGCTGAATGACACACTGAATCAAAGAGACTTAACTGACATATATAGAACCTTACATCCCAAAGAAGAAAAATACACATTCTTTTCAAAGGCGCATGGCAGTTTTTCAAAGATAGACCACATGATAGGACACAAAGCAAACCTCAGCAAATACAGGAAAATTGAAATAATACCAAACTTTTTCTCGGACCACAAGGGCTTGAAACTGGAAATCAACCTCAAAGAGAAACTTCAAAAACTTGCAAATTCATGGAGACTGAACAGTAGACTATTAAACAATGAATGGGTCAATAATGAGATAAGAGAAGATATCAAAAAATTTCTGGAAACAAATGAAAATGAACAGACAACAGTCCAAAACCTAGGGGACACAGCAAAGGCGGTCCTGAGAGGGAAGTTCATAGCAATACAGGCTTACCTAAAAAAGATGGAAACATTTCAAATAAAAGACCTAACACTACAACTTCAAGAACTGGAGAAACAACAACAAATAAACCCCAGAGCAAGTAGAAGGAAGGAAATAACCAAGATTAGAGCAAAACTGAATGACATAGAGATGAAAAGAACAATTCAAAGGATCAACCAATCCAGAAGCTGGTTCTTTGAAAAGATAAATAAAATTGACAAGCCTTTAAGCAGACTCATCAAGAAAAAAAGGGAGAGGACCCAAATTAATAATATCAGAAACGAAAGAGGAGAAATAACAACTGATACCACAGAAATACAAAGGATTGTCAGAAACTACTATGAACAATTATCACCAAGAAATTTGAAAATCTTGATGAAATGGACAAATTTTTAAAAAGTTTAAAGGATTTATATGAGAAAAATAAGAAGATTAAAACTATGAACATTAAAATGGCAATAAATACATATCTATCAACAATTTAATCTAAAAAAGAAACTAAGAAAACAAGAAGAACAGAGACAAAATAATGGAAATGGAGAACATTTTAATGGTTGCCAGATGTAAGGTGGGTTTAAGGAATGGGTGAAGAGATGAGGAGATTAAGAAGTACAAATTGGTCATTAAGAGCTATGATGATGTAAAGGACAGTATAGGAACTAAAGTAGTCAATAAACTTATACGCATGATCCATGAACATGAACAAAAATGTGGGGGTTGCCTTAGGGAATGGGGTGTGCTAGTTGGGGGAGGGGCAAAGGGGAAAAATTGGGACACCTGTAACAGCATAACCAATAATATATAATTAAAAAAGAAATGCTGAAACAATATGAAAAAGAAGTGCAAAGGGTTAGAGCAGACAATCCACTGAAGGAATGAAAATGGTTTATAAAATTATTAATATCTATTATTATAGATATTATATATTAATAATTATCTTCCAATGTCACTGGTTATCAGATAATTGACCTTTCTCAGGAGGATATAGTTTTGCCTGCAAAATTAACAAATGATTGAAAAAATGATACTACTATGCGAAGATAACCTGTATTTTCATGTGTCGAGAATGAGAGAATAGCTAAATTATGATATGGCTAAATATTATATTATTCAGTCATGATCTTTCATCATTTTTTACAGATTCAAATTAGAGAAAATTACTCATAAGAAAATCTTAACTGTGAATATTAGAAAACAATATGTGAATTATGCAGTATAGATCAAGTACTGTTAAAATATAGTGTAGCTACATAGAAAAGAAGACTGTAGGAAAAGCATCAATATTGTTACTGTAGTGTTCTGGGATGTTAGGTAATCTTGTATGTCTTTCTTACTACTATGTATTTTCAGAAATCATAATGGCATCGTTTTAAAATTTTGTTTTCTCTCCCTCCCTACTTTTCCTGACATCCCTCCAACGCAACTAGATAGATCATTTGCTGGAAGGAACTGTGGGAGTTTGTGATCTCTACACCTTCTTGGTCCCACACACTTATTTTGGCATAGAAAATATAAAATCCTAAAGTGCAAAAGTGGCCCTTGGGTTTGGGAGTATTCAAAAGCCAAGACTGGCTTTTGAAACCCAACATCGCTGAATGTTACAGAGTGGAGAGAGTGAGAGTGCTGCGTCTGGCTTCTGCTCTCACAGCTATTGCCGTCCATGGAGCTCCATAGAGACAGTGCCGGGGCAAGTGCGAGCTGTACAGGCTCTGGGCGACTCTGTGCTGGCTGAGGAAAAGTATTTAAACACGGGCAAAGGAGATCCTAAGAAGCCGAGAGGCAAAACGTCATCGTAACCTTTCTTTGTGTAAACTTGCTGGGAAGAGCACAAGAATAGGCACCCAGATGCTCCAGTCAACTTCCTGCAGTTTTCTAAGTGCTCAGGGGGTGGAAGACCATGTCTGCTAAAGAGAAAGGGAAATGAGAACACATGGCAAAGGTGGACAAGACCTGTTATGAAAGAGAAATGAAAACTTATCTTCCTCCTAAAGGGAAAAACAAAAAAGAAGTTCAAGGATCCCAATGCACCTGAGGCCTTCTTTAGCCTTTGTCTTGTTTTGTTCTGAGTATCACCCAAAATCAAAAGAGCATCCCATCCTATCCATTGGTGATGTTGCAAAGAAGCTGGGAGAGATGTGGAATAACACGCTGCAGATGACAAGCAGCCTTATGAAAAGAAGGAGGTAAAGGGAAGCCTGATGCAGCCAAAAAGGGAGTTGTCAAGACTGAAAAAAAGGAAGAAAAAGGAGGAAGATGAAGAAGGATGAGGAGGAAGATGAAGATGAATGAGTTGGTTCTAGCACAGTTTTTTTGTCTATAACACATTTAACCCCCCTGTACATAACTCACTCCCTTTAAATAAAAAAAAAATTGAAGTGTAAGACTATGTAAGACTTGTTTTTAAATTGTAGTGTCTTTTTCTGTATAGTTACCATACTACCGAATGTGTCTTTAGATAGTCCTGTCCTGGTGGCATTTTCAATAGCCACTAACCTTGCCTGGTGCAGTATGGGGGTTGTAAATTGGCATGGAAGTTTAAAGGAGGTTCTTGTTGGTGCACAACACCAATTAGTTATATACGGGGATGGTAGTTTTTTCATCATCAGTTGTCTGTGATGCAACTTATACAAAATAATTGTTCTGTTAACTGAATACCACTCTGTAACTGCAAAAAAAAAAAAGTTGCAGTTGTTTTGTTGACATTCTGAATGCTTCTAAGTAAACACAATTTTTTTAGTTAAAAAAAAGAAAGAAAGAAACCCAAGCTTGCTGATGGTCATAGCAACCTAGATCTTTGCATTTATCCCCAATTCCAAAGCTTGTGCTCCATTTTTTTTTTTTTTGGCTTAAGTATCTCAATGTGTTTTAATTTTTGATTCAGAAATAAATTATAGTTTTATGCCTACAAAATATATTTTAGGTGCTTCGGGAAGGCCTTTTACACTGAACTTACATATTTATAACTGATTCACAAAGACCATCTTTCTACAGTTAGAGACAAGACCTAAAATGCATCTTCTCCTAGAAGGGATATCATACCGTCTGTGACTATGAGCAGGGAGCAAGGACCTCAGGCTTCCTGTCTTCAGGCCCCAATTATCAGGGCATTATTTTATGTGAGTTCAGTATATCCACAGTTATAATTACAAAGTTTGACATTTAGATGTTCCCAAAGTCAACACCCATCATAGCAGTGTTAGCCACATTATAACTAGTTCAGGAGATAGAGAGCAATTAGAAACTAAAGAGAAATAGCAGAGTTCAGGAGTTAAACCCATGTGCATTTGCAATGTTGATATTTTTAGAAATTTTGGCTTTGAAGCCTTTTCACCCTTGAGAGAAAGAAAGATCTAAGTTGAATGTTTATAAGAAGTCCTTCCTCATCCTTACCTGGCTATATCCTTACCTGTCCAAGGCCTCTACCTGTTGCTCGGCTGTCATGAGGTCAGTCAGCTGGTTCTTAGGCCATTTCGCCAAATGTGTCTGTCCTAAACAAACCACAGTTTGATGAAATATAGTTTCAATTGATCACTAGTTCATTTAGAAGAGGTCGTGACTTTCCTTGTGTTTATAGTCTCCTTAGTGCTTGACCTGGCCTTGGGGTATCTCAGACCTGCAATATGAGGCCCCTTCAGGGACGTGTAAAGCTGCTGAAACTTGTGTTTCAGGTTACCAGGGTAACAGGCTAGGGGGAACCTACCTCAGGTCAATGCTGACCTATTTTTATTTATTTATTTATTTATTTATTTTACTTTTTTAATTTGAATTCATTGGGGGTAACATTTTTTTTAAATTAATTTATTTACTTTTTAAATACATTTGTCTCTGCCTTCCCCCCACCTCTTTCCCTTGCCCCCTCCCACCTTCCCTCCCTCAGCTCTTCCCCTTTGGTTTTGTCCATGAGTCCTTGCTATATGTTCCTTGGGGGTAACATTGATTAACAAAACCATACAGGTTTCAAGTGCATGACTCAACAAAACATCATCTGCATACTGCATCGTGGGCCCACGGCCCAAAGCAAATTGTTTCCTTCCCCATTTATCCCTCCTTTGCCTGCTTTAACCTGCCTCCAACACCCCTTCCCCTCTGCATATCACCATACTATTGTCTGTGTCTTTGTATTATGTATACATTATATATGTAAATACATATATTATACACTTACATATACACATTTTTTGCTATATCCCATTACCTTTTTTTACCAGTTCCCCAACCACCCTGTCCTCTCACAGCTGTCAGTCTGTTCTATGCATGTAGGCTTCTATTTCTATTTTGTTTGTTAAATTATTTTGTTCATTAGATTCCACATTTAAGTGAGATCATATGGTATTTGTCTTTCTCTGACTGGCTTACTTCACTTAGCATAATAATCTCCAGGTTTAATTGAGCTGTCACAAAAGATAAGACTTCCTTATTTTATGGCTGAGTAGCATTCCATTGTGTAAATATACCACAGTTTTTTAACTGTTTATCTACTGATGGGCACTTATGCTATTTCCAAATCTTGGCTATTGTAAATAATGCTGCAGTGAAGATAGGGTGCACATATTCTTTTGAGTTAGTGTTTCAGGTTTATTTGGTTATTTCCTAGAAGTAGAATCACTGGGTTAAAAGGAAACTCCATCCTGTTTTGTTTTCTTTCTTTTTTTAATGGTTCTGCAAGGACCTTTACTGGATTTTTCCTTCTAGAGCAGAAGAAATATGTCCATACAACGGTGAGCAGCCATTGCTTCCAGCCACTCAAACCCAGTGAGATGTAGTCTGACCAGATACTACCGTGGTCCCCACTGTCACTTCAGGGGAGATTAAGTTGAGTAGCTTCTTCCTCAGGTCCATGTGGGCCAGCAGCACGCAACTGCAGCAGCAGAGCTTCAGGCCCAGCATCTCCAGGGGGTCCTCCTCAGTATACTTAGTGTACTCAGCCGGCAGCAGCCCCAGATAGGCCTCCCACTTATTGCCAATGACCTTGCAGCAGGTGAAGCAACACACAGGGATGACCATGGTGACAGCTGTATTGTTGCTGCTATCAGGTCCATGAAGCTCTAAGGCTTCAGGCACTGCCCTGCTCCAGATGCATCCATGATGCAGGGGTGGCCAGCTGTCCCCATCCCACCCACCAGCTCCAGAGCCATTAGCCTTTGCTTCCCTCAGCAACAAGCTTCCTCTGTCTGTGTCTCCATATTATTTTGTGCTGTGGTTGCACCAGTCTGCATTCCCACCAGCAGTACATAACTATTTCCTTTCCTCCACAAGCTCGCCAACACTTGTTTGTTGATTTATTGATGAAAACCATTCTGGCAGGTGTGAGGTTACATCTCATTGTGATTTTAATTTGCATCTCTCTGATGATTAGTGAGGTTGAGCATTTTTTCATATGTCTATGGGCCTTATGTATATTCTTATGGAGAAGTGTCTATTCAGATCTTTTGTCCATTTTTAAGTTGGGTTGTCTTCTTGGTGTTGAGTTGTGTAAATTCTTTTTATATATTTTGAATATTAACCCCTTATGAGATGTATCATTGGCAAATATGTTCTCCTAGGCAGTGGATTGTCATTTCACTTTTTGGTGTTGTTTTTCCCTTTGCTGTGCAGAAGCTTTTTAGTTTGATGTAGTCCCATTTTTTTTCCCTTTGCCCAAAGATATATACCAGCAAAGATATTGCTATGAGAAATGTCTGAGATTCTAGTGCCTATGTTTTTTTCTAGAATTTTATGGTTTTGTAAGTTACATTTAAGTCTTTAATTCATTTTGAGTTTATTCTTGTGTATGGTGTAAGTTTGTGGTGTAGTTTAATTTTTTTGCCTATATCTGTCTAATTTTTCCAGTATCATTTATTGAACAGACTATCTTTACCCTATTGTATGTTCTTGCCTCCTTTGTCAAATATTAATTGACCATGAAGACACAGGTTTATTTCTGGGCTCTCCATTTTGTCCCATTGATCTATATGCCTTTTCTCATGCCAGTCCCATGACATTTTGAATACTACGGCCTTGCAGTAGGGTTTGATATCAGGTAGTGTGATACCTCCAACTTTATTGTTCTTTCTCAAGATTACTGAGGTTATTTAGGGTCTTTTGTGGTTTCATATAAATTTTTCAGATATTTGTTCTAGATCCATAAGATGTGACATTGGTATTCTAATTGGAATTGCATTATCTGTAGTATGGATGTTTTAGTGATGTTAATCCTTCCTATTCAGGAGCATGTTATGTGCTTCCACTTATTTGTGTCTTCCTCAATTTACTTCTTCAGCATCCTATAATTTTTTCAGTACAGATCTTTTATTTCCTTGGTTAAGTTTATTCCTAGGTACCTTAGTTTTTTTGTTGCAATAGTAAATGGGATTTTTTTCTTAATTGTTGGTGTATAAAAATGCCACAAATTTCTGAATATTATAACAACTTTCTATCCTGCTATTTTACCAAATTCATATATCAGTTCTAGTAGTTTTTTGGTAAAGTCTTTAAGGTTTTCTATATACAGTATCATGTCATCTGCAAATAATGACAATTTTACTTCCTCTTTTCTCATTTGGGTGCCTTTTATTTCTTCTTGAGCAATGACTCGTTTTAGTAGAATATTCTGTGTGGTTTGTCACCCTAAAATTATTGCACACAGCTAACTTGCATGCAGAAGATACTCTCTATTTGAAAATGTTAATGCATAGTAATATCATTGTTTTTTCTATCACCCTATCAATTCTTTATCTGTCTTAGAAAGCGGTAACTTTTTCATTACTTTCAGCAGAAGTTTGTTATCTGAGAGCTGTTGAGTTGTCCTAAAAGCTGAAAGATTTCTTTTATGAAATAGATTGCTCTATTTGTAGCCAAGTTTCAGAAATTAAAATACTTTTCAAGATAAAAGAAATAGAATGTTTGTTGTATACATGACTTAAAAATCAAAACTGTTTTCTACCGGACTTATTTCATTTAGCATAATATCCTCTAGATCCATCCATGTTGTCGCAAATGGAGAGATTTCATTGTTTCTTATTGCTGTGTATTATTTTATTATATATACACCACATTTTTTCCTTTCATCTATTGATGGACACCTAGACTACTTCCATATCTTGGCTATTGTAAATAATGCTTTAATGAACATATGCGTGAACATATCTTTTTGAATTCATGTTATATTTTTATATAAATACCTAAAGTACCTAAAGTTGGGATTGCTGGGTCATATGGTGGATCTATATTTAGTTTTTTTGAGGAATCATCATACTGTTTTCCACAGGGGCGGTACCAGTTTGCAGTCCCACCAACAATGCACAGGGATATCCTTTTCTCTGCATACTCGCCAACACATGTTATTGTTGACTTTGTGATAATAAACCATTCTGACTGGTGTGAGATGATATCTCATTGAGGTTTTGGTTTGTATTTACTTGACAATTAATGATGTTAAGCATCTTTTTATACGTCTTTTGGCCATCTGTCTTCTTTGGAAAAATGTAAAAATGAGACAAAACAAACAAACAAACAAACAAACAAACGTATAATACAAAAATAGACTCATAGAAATAGACACCTAAAAGATGGGTACCAGAAGGGAGGGGCTGGAGAGATGGGTGAAAAAGAGAAGAATATAATCAATAATATTGTGATTATACAGTCAATAATATCCAGATATATATGCATGGGCCCAGGTGGGTACTTGAAGCAGCAGGGTGACCACTCTGTGAAGTAAATAACTTTCTAACTAATTTGCTGTAAATCTGAAACTAATAAAGAATAATATTGAATATAAACTATAATTAAAAAATTTTTAAATACTGTGATTAGTTTACGCTGTGACAGTTGATTACTAGAATTAGTAAAAGGATCACATGGTAAAGTATAAAAATGTTTAATCACTTTATTGTATACCTGAAACTAATATAACCAATATAAGACTGTATATCCACTATATTTAAACAAAAAATAAATTAAAAAAATCGCAATTGATTGATTACTCATTAATCTACAAATTCAACAATATGCCCTGGATTACAGTCAATAGCATGGTTCTTCTAACAGTCAGATGTAATTGAGAACATTGTACAGTTGTGTTTGTCTCAAAACTAAGTATGTTAATATGCAAATTAGTTTTATAATTTCAAAGTGTTTTTCTCTGGAAAAAATCAAAACATAAATGTAGTCTACCAGGAAACAGATTTGGGATCATAATATGCTAAGTGGATTTTAGAAGGAGGAATTGTAAAATGCAAGTTGGCCTTAAATCTCAAGGATGGGCAGAAGTTATTTTGTCCTTAGTTGGAGGTTACATGCTAATGGAGGTTACCTTTATTCATAACTGGATGCATAATCAGGACACCTGAAGATGGTGTCAACATGAAAGTGTAGACATCTATAGGAAGAAGACTTTGTTCTCTCTTGGATATAGCAGAGAACTTAAATTGCTCATTTACCAGACTCACTTCTATCTACCAAGTAAGGTACTAGGAGCTTGGAATATAAAATCAATTGTACTTTAAATCTCTTACCTGTAAAGTGGGGATAACAGTGCTTTTCTCATAGGTTTATTATTAGTGTGAAATAAAATAAGTTGAACAAAAATAAAAAATTTTTTACAAACACCAAAATTGGTGAATTTTTATGTAGTCATTTTAAAATTGAAATATATATAATAATATATAATATAAAAACCTCATTTTTAAGTCATGAGAATATTTAATGAAGAATTTTAAGCTGAAAGAAGACCATGCCAGATCTCTATGATGAAAAGACCTCCTCAGCAACAGTCTTGTGGGTAAATATCAGGGGGCTGGGCTTGAACCCAGAAATGAATTGAAACCCTTGCTATGGAGATGTAAACACCTGGCTAGAGCTAGTGTGGCATTTTATTGTAATGGAATAGCACCTGAAGAGAGAAATCAACCTTAGATTCTAGATCATTGCCTTCAAGCACCTACTGATATACCTCTTGATGGCCAAGGTAGCACTAGACCTTAACTAAGCTATTACCAAATAATATGTTTCTGAGACAGTTACAGCTTTGGCTTGATTGGATGAAAGAAATTTTAGGGAAATAGGGAAAATAAAACTGAGCCAGTGAAATAATATTAATGTGGATGTTACAACATTATGAATGTATGCATGTTTTAAAATTTATAAAATTATTTCCCATAAGCTATTTTATATTTTCTAGTGTCAGATATACTTGTTTCAAATAGAATATTCTTCAAAAATGTGTGATTTAAGTAAGAATAACTTGAAGAAAAAGCCATATGTGTGTGTTGTGTCCATGCACCTTAAAAAATAAAATTATAGATTCAACACAATACCTATTAATATACCAATCATGTATTTCACAAATATAGAACAAACATTTAAAAAATGTATATGGAACCATAAACAATCCCAAATAGCTGCAGCAATTTTTAGAAAGAAGAACAAAGTAGGAGGGATCACAATACCTGACATCAAACTATATTACAAGGCCACTGTAATCAAAACAGTCTGGTACTGGTATGAGAACAGACACATAAATCAATGGAACAGAATAGAGATCCTGGAAATAAATCCAAGTCACTATAATCAATTAATATTCAACAAAGGGGAAGAAGTTTAAAATGGAGTAAAAATAGCCTCTTCAACAAATGGTGTTGGGAGAGCTGGACAGCTACATGCAAAAAATTGAAATTCAACCACTAACACCATACACAAAAATAAACTCAAGATGGATAAAAGACTTAAATATATTTTGTGACACCATAAAAGTCCTAGAGGAGAATATAGGCAGGAAACTGTCAGATATTCCACACAGCAATTTTCACCGATATGTCTGCTAGAGCAAGGGGCATAAAGGAAAGAATAAACAAATGGGACTTCATCAAAATAAGAAGCTTCTGCATGGCTAAAGAAAAAATCAGCAAAATGAAAAGGGAACCAACCTTCTGGGAAAATATATTTGCCAATGACACGTTGGACAAGGGTTTGATCTCCAAAACATATAAAGAACTCACATGACTTCACTCCAGGAAGACAAACAATCCAATTTAAAAATGGGAAAAGAACCTGAACAGACACTTCAAGGAGGACATACACAGGGCCCAGAGACATATCAAAGGATGCTCAGCATCACTAGCCATCAGATAGATGCAAATCGAAACCACAATGAGATACCACTTCACACCAGTCAGAATGGTCACCATAAATAAATTAACAAACAACAAGTGCTGGTGACGTTGTGGAGAAAAGGGAACCCTAGTATGCTGTTGGTGGGGATGTAGACTGGTGCAGTCACTGTGGAAAATAGTTTGGAATTTCCTCAGAAAGCTAAAAATGGAACAACCTTTTGACTCAGAAATTCTACTGCTGGGATTATACCCTAAGAATCCCAAAACACCAATTCAAAAGAACCTATGCACCGCAATGCTCATAGCAGCACAATTTACAATAGCCAAGGGCTGGAAGCAACCTAAATGCCCATCAACAAATTAATGGATCAAAAAACAATGGGACATTTACACAATGGAATACTACGCAGCTGAAAGAAAGAAAGAATTACTACCCTTTGTGATAGCATGGATGAAACTGAAGAGCATTATGCTAAGCAAAATAAGCCCGGGGGTGAAAGACAAATACTACATGATCTCACTTATAATCAACAAAAGAAGCAAGAAAACATAACCAGCAACATTCATTTCAAGAAAGAAAAAACAAATGGACAGTAATGAGAGGGAAGGAGAGAGAGAAGTAATGGGGAAAAGAAGGGGGAGTGTCAAATCAAGGAACATGAATGAAGGACCCGTGGACAAAGCCAAAGTGGGGAAGGATTGAGGGTGGGAGGTGATGGTTGGTGAGGCAGAGGAAAGTGGTTGTGGGAAAATGGAGACAAATGTATTTGAACCATAAAAAAAAAGACTATGATTGGCTGCCTATAATAAAAAAGTCAAAAAAATACATCCATAGTAAAATTCTGAAAAAAACAAAAACAAAAAATATAAGGGTTGAACTGAGAGTTACAAGATTCAAGAGAATTTCTTATACGTGGTAACTATATATATGAGGTAGAAAAACATGATTAGAAGAAATGCATGAAACACACTTCTTCAGTTTTTCATGGAAACATTGATTTTTAGCATTTTATCACAAATGATTTTTTAAAAAAAAAAACACATCTTTTGCAAAATATCCCAGAAGACTTCTTTTACCTGCTGGTTCCTTAGTGTGTAGATGAAAGGATTTAATAAAGGGGCAACTGAGGTATAGAGCAAAGCTACACCTTTGGATACAGTCACCCTTTCTTTTGCAGAGGGCTTAATATACATAAAGATACAGCTACCATAAGTCACGGAGACAACAATCATGTAAGAGGTACAGGTGGAAAAAGGTTTAGTCCTTTGTTGTGCAGAAGGGAATTTCAGAATTGTCTTAATGATGCAAGTGTAGGAGAGAACCACTAATACCAATGTGATTACAAGTGTCACCACAGCTAAGATAAAAGACATTAATTCTAGGACATGCGTATCTGTGCAAGAGATCTGCAGTATAGGAGAAGTTTCACACATAAAATGATCAATTACTTTGGAAGCACAGAAATTCAGCTTAAGTCCCATGACCAGTGGAGGAAAAATGATTAGGATCCAGTTACCCAAGAGCTGACTACAAGCTGATAGCACACTTTGCTGTTCATGATGATGAGGTAATGCAGGGGTTTGCAGATGGCGACATAGCGGTCATAGGACATGGCAGCCAGAAGGTAAAATTCTGTAACTCCCAGTAAAAGAATAAAAAATACCTTGTGGGATTTTTAAATGTATTATTCTTATCTTATTTCATCATTCTTTGTACCTTTCTCATTAACGTCCTGCTTTATCATTAACCTTTTAACAGCCTTGTTTTTATAACTTTTTGGAGAGAGAATGCTGCCACTGACAGTCTTCATCGGCAAGTAAGATGGACTCTGGGGTTCTTTCTGGGAGTGGAGGAGGGGGAGAACGATCTTCTTGTAGATCTATGTTAAGAAGAGTGTACAACAAACACAAACAGCCATCACTGAAAAGTCTTAAGTCAAGGCCCCTTATTGGTTTTGTATAGCTTTCCCAATTATATATGTATGTATGTAAGTATGTATGTATTGTATTTTTTCTATTCCCAATTATCCCCTTTTATACCCTTGTGCGCCCCCACTCACCCTCCTCCCCACCCTCTCCAATTTTTCATTATGCACCTACAACCAAATAAAAAATTATCTGAACAATGGAAAAAAAACAATTGAGCTGCACAATTGTTGTATGAAATGGTTTTTTCTTTAGTCACATTTGTTATCAGGAATTTGGGAATACATACTGTTGTGAATATGATTTCCAAACAAGAAAAATTACGGAGAAAGAAATAGATGGACTTCTTGAGGCGAGGATCCAGCTGGGTGATGAAAATAATGATTATGTTCCCCATCAGGCTTAATGTGTAATTAAGAAATAAAAACAGGAAAATCACAATTTGCAATTGTGGGTCATCTGTCAACCCTAGGATAATGAACTGTATTTCCATTGACTGGTTTTTCGTTTTTCTTTTGTAAACCTCATTAAATCTATGTAGGAAAAGAAAAAAAATTGAAAAATACATATTATATATGGATATAGTATAAATTAACCTATTGTATTAACTTAAATATATGTAAATTAGCAAAATGTATATAAGTTAACAAATATATAAATTAACTTAAATCTATAAATAACATATACTAAGTACATGTATATTTAGCTAAGTATATATATATTTAACCTAAAACAGAAAAAGCAATACATTTTTAAATATATCCATTTGCAAATGGTTTCACCAATTTGAAATTGCCAATGACACAATTACATACTACGGTCAGTTCTAAATTCTTTCTCTCAGTTCTCTTTATTATAATATTCCTCACAATTTTCCCTTTGGAACCTTGAAATTTTGGGTTAATTTTTATTTTTGTTCATCACCCCTGAATGGACTCAGTATTGCATGTGTATTTTTAATAAAAGGATATGAGTTATTTTTCTATCTTTTTTTATTTGATCTGTAAAAAGGCATGAAGTTATGGTTTGTCGTTTTAGAATGACAGGGTGATTCTCCAAAGCCAAAATTTAGGATTATATTACCATTGCAGTGATGGTCAATGGCTATGGCAGTACTGATTTCCAGTAAGTAGATAAAGATGCTAATTGTAGCAGTCTTGAAATTTTCTCTGCACTGAGCCCTTGTTTGTGTGGCTCATTGGATTGAGTGCCAGCCTGCAAACCAAAGGGTCACAGATTCGATTTCCAGTCAGGGCACACGCCTGGGTTGTGGGCCAGGTTCTCAGTAGAGGGCTTGTGAGAGGCAACACACATTGATGCTTCCCTCTCTTCTCCCCTTCTCCTCTCTCTAAAAATAAATAAATAAAATAATTTTTTTTAAATAAATTTTTTCTGCATTGAGAGTACACCATTATCATTTTTTCACTGGCTTTGATATATTGAAATGGATAGCTGTTTTCCAGTACACATGAGAAATAAAAAAAACAAAATATGATAAAGATGAACAAGTAACATATTTTAATAAAAATATTGTCTTTTTAATAATTACTCTTTTGAAATGTATTCTTATATGTGTCTGCATAATTTGGGAGCACTATTTATATATTTTTATTTCATTTTATTTTAAGATTTTATTAATTTTTTTAAGAGAGAGGGGAAAGGAGGGAGAAAGAGAGGGAGATAAATATCAATGTGTGGTTGCTTCTTGCACACAGGTGCTACTGGGCACCTAGCCCACAACCCAGGCATGTGTCCTGACTGGGAATTGAACTAGTGACCATTTGGTTCACAGGCCGGCATTTAATCCACTAAGCCCCATCAGCCAGGGCTGGGGCACTATTTTAAAAAATTCATCGATATCTTTTATAAAGCTATTGATTACCCCAAAATTATATCAATCCCTGTCCTTTCCATATAAGAATTCCATTAACTTTCATGTTATACCGTCCCAAATTATGTTAAACATGTCAGTCTGTTTCATCATATGCATCACCTGTGGACTTTTAAAATAAATGAATTACTAAAGTACTCTTTATCTTTTGCACCTCTTATTAATATTGTTATCCTATCTATTTATTACTTTGTTTGGAAAAAAATTTTAATTTTAATTTGGAAAAAAATAATAATGTGGTAATGCAACCAATATCAGGGAAGAAGGCTGGAGCCCTAAGGTGAGTTCTCTTTTCTTTGTGAAGAGTAGGGCACCCTGGAACAGGTTCATCCCTAGGGAGGAGCTGATTAAAACACAAACAAGCCCTGGCTGGGTGGCAAAGTTGGTTGGAGCATTGTCCCATAAACCAAAAGGTTGTGGTTTCAATTCCCTACCAAGTCACATGCCGAGATTGCAGGTTTGATTCCTCCTTGGGGCATCTATGGGAGGCAAATGATCAATGTTTCTCTCTGACATTGATGTTTCTCTCTCTCCCTTCCCCTTTCCCTGAAATCAGTGAACATATCCTTGGGTGAGGAATAGCCAAACACACACAAGCACACACAAAACAACAGCAAAAGAACTCTGAGATATTTCATACTAAATGTAATATTCCAAAACACATATTAGTAAATTGTTTTAATGTTTTTAAAATTATTTATGCCATTACAGTTTCTTTTTATTCCCTTTCCAATCTCTACCCAGTCCCATTTTGCCTTCCCTCAATCAATTCTGACATCACTGTCCGTATCCCTGTGTCATGCATAAATGTTCTTTGGCTGATCCCTTCACCATCTTTCATCCAGTCCCTCACCCCTCCCCTCTAGTAGCCAACAGTCTGTTCCATGTATCTATATGTTTCTGTTTCTATTTTGTTTGTTAGTTTATTGTGTTCATTAAATTCCACACATAAGTGAGGTTATATGGTAGCTTTAATGTTTTTAATGGCAGCTGAAGTCTTCAGCTACTAAGTGACCACCAGCTTTTCTTATAAAAAAAAATGTTTCTGTCCTTGCCATGATTTCCATCTTTGCTGTAACTTTGATTTGAAGAGGTGTGTAGTATGAGCTAGTCATACAATTTCTGCTACCATTTGGGTCCAGCAGACTTTTCTGGAGCTATGTTATCTCAAATTATAGAGAAGAGTTGTTCAGTAGGTTTTCCACATGACTTTACCCAGGGCAGCATTTAATTCATAAAGAAGATCAAACAAAACTATGCAGCAGAAAGAAGGAGCTCCTACCATTCGTGACAGCATGGATGGAACTGGAGAGCATTACGCTAAGTGAAATAAGCCAGGCATTGAAAGACAAACACTATATGATCTCACCAATAGGTGGAACCTAATCAACAAAACAAATAAGCGAACAAAATATAACCAGAGACATTGATAAAAAGGAAGAAAATGACAGTAACCAGAGGGAAGAAGGGAGAGGGAAAATAGGGGAAGGGTCGTCAAGGAACATGTATGAAGGACACATGGACAGATCCAAAGGGGGTAAATTTGAGGGTGGGAGGCAGGGGTGAGTGGGATGTGGGGGGTGAGGGGAGGAAAATGGAAACAACTGTACTTGAAGAACAATAAAAAAATTAAAAAGATTCCATTTAAAAAGGGAATTAAATTTAGATGCAACTGCATATTAGTAAAATAGATTATAACACCTGTTAATGCACAAACATAATATGACTCTACTATTAAAAATTATAAAACATAAAAGTTCAGTATTCATATTTAATTCCCTGAACTGGACCTATAGTGCATATGACTTCATTTCTGATTCTGAAGTTAAAATTATAGTAGACTTACCTCCTTGGATCTGTTGTATTTATTATTTCCTATGAGTGTGTAGAATAGATATAGGTATGTTAACATAATTAATTATGATTTTACTTTTTTATGATCATACTGTATTATCTATAGGGAGGTTTAAAAACAATGATTTTTGTTGGAGGAGGCAATGTGTAAATATTGTGACTCTATAAAGAATGTCCATATTACCTCCAATTCATACACACTGTGAAGTTTGGAACTCAGGTATCAATGATTTTAATGAACATCTATGTTATTCAGATGTTCCAGATAAGATGCATTTTGTGAAATTTTGTTTATATAATTCATATCATTCAAAACCTCAAAATAGGTAATTATTCCTTAAAATAAAGCTAAATGAAGTGAAAAAGTAGAAACTGAAAAACCTCAGGACATCAGCTGATGAAAGATAAGCAACTATTCCAAGCAAGAGATTCTACATTGCCAACTGTACACTTTTAAAATGCTGCAGTTTTCACTTAGCTTAATATTCTCCAGTTCCATCCATGTTATTGCAAAAGGTAGGAGTTCCATCTCTCTCTCTTTCTTTCTTTCTTAAATGCAGATTGATTTTATTTATTTTTTTAAATGTCAAAGTTAATTATACAATATTTAAAAAATTTAAAACCATTATAAAGTCTCAGAAGTTAAACCAACATGACATCAGCACAGAAATAATCAAGTAGATCAATGAAATAAAATGAGCATTCCAGAGACAAATGTATATATCTGTCTAACAATGTGATATATGATTAAACTGATATTTCAAATCAATGGGGAAAATAAGGCTTATTCAACAAATAAGGTGCATGGACCACTATCACTTGAAATAAAACAGAGTCCTATTTCATACATTATACAAAAAATATTCAGGTGAGTTAAAAATCAATATGTAAAATTGAAGGAGTTTTAGGAGAAAATACAAAATAATATTTTTCTTACCCCAAAGCAAAATATTCAAACCTAGAAGCTATAAAGTAAAATATTGACAATATGACTATTTTAAACATTTAAGACTACATACTAATATACATATAAAAAAGTTAAAGGACAAGTAATAGAATAGGAAAGTATTTCACCTTCCCTTTTAATTGAGAACCTTCCTGGGTAGAGCAGCCTTGGTTTCAGGCCTTTGCTTTTCATGACTTGGGGTATTTCTTGCCATTCCCTTCTGGCTTGTAGTGTTTCTGTTGAGAAGTCAGTTGCTAGCCATATTGGGGCTCCCTTATGTGTTACTATGTCTTTCTCCCTTGCTTCCTTTAGGATTCTCTGTTTGCCTTTGATATTTGCCATTTTAATGATGATGTGTCTTGGAGTGGGCCTCATTGGGTTCCTCTTGAATGGGACCCTCTGTGCTTCTTGGACTTGTGTGTCTTTTTCTCTCCTCCAATTAGGGAAGTTTTCCATCATTACTTTTTCAAACAGGTTCTTTATCCCTTGCTCCTCTTATCCTTCTGGTATCCCTATTATACAGATATGATTACATTTCAAGTGGTCCTGCATTTCCCTGAATGCCTCTTCATTCTTTTTGAGTCTTTTTTCATTTTCTTGCTCTTTCTGGGAGCTTTTATCTACCTTGTCCTCCAGTTCACTGATTCAATCCTCTCCTTCATCAAGTCTGATTTTGATTCCTTTCTTCAATTCAGAAATTGTATTCCTCATTTCTTCTTGCCTCTTATTGATAGTCTCTGTTCTTTTTCATGCTGATATAGTTTGCAGTAAGTTCCTTGTAGTTTCCCTGTAGTTTTTTGAAGTTCTCTCTGAGCTCACTGAGCTCATTGACGTTCCTTAGAACTATTGTTTTGAATTCAATATCTGATAGTTTACTTGCATCTATTTGATTTAGTTCTCTTTGTGGGGATTCCTCCTTTCCCTTCAACTTGGGGGTTTTTCTTTGTCTTCTCATTATTTGTGAGACTCTTCTTTTTGCTTCTGTTTCTTAAATTGATCTGTCTTGATTTACTGACTTTGTGGTTTGAACTTCTATGGTAGGAGACTGCTGTTTTTCCTTTCTGGCTCTGCCTCTGATGATGTCAGATGTTGACCCTGTCTGACCTAAGGCAGTGTATTCGAGACTTCCAGGAATCTACTGTCTGTGGTTGTCTCCTTCAGCTGTTAATCTAGTCACTCTGCACTCAGCAGGCTGGCTTAGAATCCACAGAGCGGGGCAGAGTCCTTCCTGGGGGTGGGGTTATTGGGTCCTCTCATGTTGCTGCCACTCAGAGGAGTGGTCTGCCTGAGCCAGATGGCTGCTGCCATCTCGGGGATGAGTCAGTATCCCGCTGGCTACTCTCTCAGTTCTCTCCCCAAAGTCTCCTTTTCCAGTCTCTGCTCAGGCATTCCAGCCTACTCTGCTGCCACCTTTGCTGGAGACCAGGGTAAGTAGCTGCAAATAAAAATTTATGCATTGGCCCTTTAAAAGGCTCTTTGCATCTCCACCTGCCTGTTTCAGAGAGCAACCCTGCCACTTTTCACAGCTGGCTGTTATCTGTGTGCTTTTTGGGCTCTGGTGCTGTAGGCTGATGATCCCTGCCTATGGTTTAGACCCCGCTCTTCTCAGGGGGATCCAACTGGACGTTTCAATATCCCTTCTGTGCTGCTGCCCATGGACGCCACGCCCATCTTCTGAAGTCTCTACCGCACTCCTTACCAGTTAGGTTGTGCTAAAGCTA